ACGACCCGATTCTAACCCTCTGCTCTTAGTCCGAGCGCTAAGAAACTCACCTTGTCCGTCTCTGTCTGCGCCCTGCGCAGTCCCTAGCGGCGCCGGCTGTAGCTCCCATCACAGTGGGACGGGTGAGGTGGCGGTAGCGCGACTCAGTAGTGAAAAGAACTGTCTACAGATGGCACTGTGCCCGGTTTACCTGCGCCGTACCGTTTACCCGCTAGGGGCGTTCAAAGTCGCAGGGGACAATCACTGAACCCCGGACAATCACTGTATCCTCTACCCTACACGCCATCACCTCGATATAATCTCGGGAAGAGGGGCAGGACCACAATCGGTAGACACTTTCGGGATAAAGGCAGCAGGAATGGTAATGAAACTGAATCGGCTAACTTACTTGCCTTCCCCTTACTTCCTGATTAAATACTAGAGGGAAGGTGGTGACCACGGTGATGTGACAATCCGTGGCCCCTGAGATTTGGTCTTGCAGGTCCTTCAAAGAAGGACCCGAAGAGCTCTCAGATTTGCCTAGCGATACGCAAGGGTCACTTGATGTGCTCACATAAATCCTTCTCGGGAAGAAGGTTGTTGAGAACACTGCAGTGGTCGCTTTGGTCTGCCGCGAGTCGGGTCCTAAGTCGTCCGCTGTACGCGCTGCACAAGCGGCGCCAGGCTGAGCTCAACCAGGGGACTGACCTTGACAAGACCAACAGCCAGCACTGCCGCCGCCGTGGCCAGAGACATGGCCGCGAGGGTGCTGACGCCGTCGGGCAGGTGCTCGTGCTGGCCCTGGCGACGCTCGTCGAGCTGGTGCAGGGCCACGACGGCGCCCTGGAGCCGCCTGTCCTGCTGGTCGTCTTGCTCGGAGCACCAGTTGGTCCACGTGCCGTTCCACAGCGCGGGGTTGGCCAGCGGGTCCGTGGGGACGTTGCCCGGGGGCAGCATGGTGCGGCGGTAGCGACCCAGGGCCTCCTCGAGGCTGAGCAGCACCTGGGGTCGGGCCGCGGCGAGGTTGACGCGCTCGCACGGGTCCTCGCGTACGTTGAAGAGGCAGGGGGCCTCCAACGGGTTGCAGGCGACGGCCTTGTCGTCGTCGGCCACGTCTGGACATCGCACCTCGGCCTCGGCTCGGAGGCGCTGCGCGGCGGCGCGCGTCAGCGGCGAGTATCCGTCGGGAGCTGCGGGCAGAACAGGCCTCGGTCAAGCTGCTGGACACTTTGGCAGGGGCGCGATCGGTTACACGAGTTTTTGAATGGAGCTTCGACTGACCTGCGCCCTTGATCTGCATCGCGGCGCCCAGCCCAGCCAGGGCCGCCCCCGCCTTGGAGTGCAGCACGGCGTCCAGCGGGTACGGAGGGTTCTGCACCCCGCGGCCCTGCTCGCCGAACCAGTGGTCAGCCTCGCCCTCGTGCGTGGTCCCTGCAAGCAGTTAGCAATCCGTCAGTCCAGGCCAGGCGCGCTCCCGCCACGGCTCCCGCTGTCCGGCCCGCAGCTCCGCCGCGCGCGGTGGGTTGCCCACCCTCCGGTCCGCAGGCGCGCATCACGCTACTCACCCGTCACGTATTTCCAGTCCCCGCGGCGCAGCGCGGCGTACTTGTCGATGTCGTCGATGTTGTGCAGCACCTCGAGTCGCCGGGAGGGACCGCCGCGGGTGAGCGCGTCCCACTGGTCCACGCCGTCGAGCAGCGGGAGCGCGCTGGCGTTGGCGCCCGCCGCGCTCAGCAGCGTAGGCAGCCAGTCCGAGACGTGCAGCAGCGCGTTGGACACGCGGCCCGGCGCGGCCAGCCTCGGGCTCCACAGCGCCGCCACGCCGCGCACACCTCCCTCCCACGGGCTCTCCTTCATCTGGAACAGGACGAGCTCTGGTTGAGGCGCGCGGCCACCGGGAGAGGCAGGGGTCGCCTGCCATCGCTAGGCCGGCCGTCGGCGTACTCACCCCCCGGAGCGGGAAGTTGGAGCCGCGGTTGGAGTGGATCCCGAACGTGGGCGCGCCGTTGTCCGACATGAAGAGGATGACGGAGTCCTCGAGCATGCCGCGCTGGCGCAGCGCCGCCACCACCTCGCCCACGCCCTGGTCCAGGCGGCGCACCATCGCCGCGTACACGCGCCGCTCGGGGTCGGCGATGTGGCCGAAGTGGGCGACGTCCTCGTCGAGGGCCTGGAACGGGTTGTCCCGGTTGCCCGTGTGCGGCGCGAGGTGCGCCAGGTACAGGAAGAGCGGCGACTCCGGGTCGTCGGCGGGGTGCTCCCCGATGAGGCGGACGGCCTCCTCGGTGAACAGGTCCGTCGAGTAGCGGCCCGCCGCGTCCCAGGCCACGCTCATGTTGCGACGCATGTCGTAGCCGCCCATGGCCGCGCCAAACTACGGAAAACATAGGGAAGGAAATCATGAAAACGGCAAACGGACAGGTAGAATGACAAGAAGACGATCAGTTTTTCTTTCAAGGCCGCGCGGGTCTGCATGGTAACTGTCTTCTACTCTTTGGCGTACACGGCACGGCGAAAATAGC